ATTTTAATTATTAATATTTCTTAGTTCTGAAGATTCTGTTTGGTTTTTATCACACTGATTATTTCATTTTTAAAGTTGCCTGTTCCATGCAAACATTTTCAGATTTTTCTTATGCATCCATTTGTTTTATAATCTGTGTCTGTCAATATCGGATACTTCTGTCAATCTTTTTCTGTTGTATTTTGGTCTTCTGGGTCCTGCACTGTCACCCACTCTCAGAGCCCCACATGCAGCAGGGAATGGCTTTTGCTTGGCACTTGTCTCTGGTCTTTCTTTGATTCAGCTTATCTTCAAAGCCGGTACTTAGTTCACTCTTCCTGAAACACAACTTTATCGCAAATCTCCAATCCTCCCACATTATAATGAGATTTAGAATTTGGCTTACATCAATTTAAATGACTCTTTCTGTAATACTTTACTGTATTTTCTGTGCCTTACAACTCAAGACTACATTTGTTTATCCTTACGTTTCGCGCAATGGATACAGATCAAATAGCATGCTTCCATGTTTAGGGTATATCTCTGCCTTTGCTCCAGCAACACAGCACGTGTAAGCTGTGTGTCTGTGCATACCTGATGCACTGTATGCACGGACATATGACGTGCCTGGTAAACCTCCACATTCTGGGGCCTTCACTGAATGCAGCACAGACATGCTCCTCTCCCTGAGCTGTCTCCACTGAATGCTGCACAGATATGCTCCCGTCCCTGAGCTCTGTCCGCTGAGTGCGCAGATACGCTCCTCTCCCGGAGATCTCTCCGCTGAGTGCGCAGATACGCCCCTCTCCCTGAGATCTCTCTGCTGAGTGTGCAGATACGCTCCTGTCCCTGAGCTCTCTCCACTGAATGCTGCAGATACGCTCCTCTCCCTGAGTTGCCTCCACTATAGCTCAGGCCCTTCGTTTGCCATAACCCCTCTAACTCTTGAGACCAGTGATCATTTCCTCTTATTGATTGCCTACTCCACTGTAACTCTCAGTCACCTACCTTTATGTATCATTTCTAGTCTGTGCAATGACCGTGACCCTCTACAGATGCTATTACTGGGGCTGAGAAAGATCAAGTCTGTTGTTGGTCTAAGATGGTTTGAAAATTAGGAATCCATACAGGTAAAACAGTTACCTGAGCTTCCTTCCTACGGAGCATGGAAGGAAGTGGCTGTGGTACTTGGGAAACTGAACTGGTGGTAGTTCATGATGATCTGGATGCACGCACTGGAAGGAGAAGGGAACCGAATCACTCCCGGTGTGTGGCTACAGTGAGGTGGCCCTGCCAGTCATTGCAAGGGAGAAACATCCCACAGTGAGGAAGGGTACATGTGCGTGCTTTGTTTTGTTTGGTCCATAAGGAGAGGAAATGGGAATGTTAACACCCATGGTGTATACATTTCAGGGTATTTGTGATGAACCTGTGATATCTCATAGGAAATAGAATAGGTATCAGTCTGAAGCCCAAGGCGAGGTCTAAACTAGGCCTAGACCTTTGAGTCTCGTCTCCACCGTGGATCACATTCGATGGATTCACCCAGTGCAAATGTTCGAGTGCCAGCCCCTGCACCCCTGCTGTGTCATGAAAAATTTAAAGGTATCACAGACAGTGACAAAGGTTTGGAAAAATTCAGATCAAATGTCCTTTGTGTCCTTTCAGCTTTATGATTTATAGGAAAAGATTTTAATTACTTTTGATAAAAATTCTGATGTAAATGAACTCTGTTTTATTTTGCTTAAATTAGAAGCCAAAAATAAGTCTGACAGAGGAACGCATGTGAATTATTTCAGGTAGATTCATTCGCTGAGGAGAATAGCATGTGTTTCTCAGACAGGTTATGGGACTGGGTTCTCCTGGTAGTGATAAATACTGCAGGTTTAATTGTAACAAATTAGAGCTTAAAGGTAGTAGGCATCGTGGTGCCTAAATAAGATTGCGTGGTGTATTTTAGGGAAGTGCACTTCACAGTTGTTCAGAGTCCAGGTTAGCTCCTCAGACACTTCTGTAGCTGTGGAGCAGAAGGAGCTATTTGGACACCAAGGAGCTGTCATTAAAAGACCTGACACTCCGAGATTGACGAATGCTTCCTTCCTGTAGCATGAAACAGGTTCATGGATCTTGCTACTCCCAGCACTGCTGAACACAGTATTTATTTAAGATAATTTATTTCATTTTTCTTATTACGTAATCGTCATGTTGCCTTCTGGTTCAAGTAACTGAAATGACAGACACTTTTCCGCTTATCTGGGACAGGGCTCTTGGGAGCAATTTCACAGTTGCTAAATTAGCAATAAAATGAGCTTAAAATGTATCTGGTATTTATTACATTATGTCTGTTTCTATAATTCTTCTGAAAATGCTAGGTTTAATATATATTGAGGGGGTAACAAATTGTTACAGTAAGTATTTTACAGTCGAGTAGAGATCCAGGTTTTAAAATTCTGCAAAATTAGAACATTCTAAAATTACACTGAATGTAGCAGTGATAGTTACTCTGGCAACTTAGTGTTTGAAATCTGGGCATCGTAGAGATCTTTAACATTAAAGAGCAAATTGCTGTATTAATCAAGATATGCGTGACTCAGCATGCATATAAGCTGTCTACTCTGTATGTGGTATTAAATACTCCTTATGTGGTATTATATACCTCACGTATTAGTGTATGCACCCTCTGTGGCAGTATATGCGCCCTATGTAGTGCTGTACGCTCCCCATGTGGTGTATGCGCTCTGTGTGGCTTTACCTACTCCCTGTGTGGTATTATATGCGCCCTATGTGGCATTATTGTTTTAGTTGAAGTTGAGTATATTTTACTCAGTGATCTTTCACTAGTAAACTGTAAACTTGCATTCTGCAGTGTTTGTCATCCTGAAGATGGTCGCTGACCTTTTCCATGAGTAGGCACTGCTTTAGACAGTCTTCCACGGTCACTTGTATTCAACTTACCGTATTTCAGTGGTAATTATTATGTTTCATGAAATAATTGAATATTCCATGATGCGACAGCTCCATGTAAGTCTGTAACCACGGAAACGGTTTTGTGAGCCCTAGGTTTCTCATGATTGAGGCGCAGTGCCCAGAAGAGCTGTCCTGGTCCTTTAGCTTCCACCACCCTGAGCCCAGTGGCTGACCGCAAGCTCTTCAGAAATTCCCGGCTCACAGCAGAAACTCATTTGCATTATAGTAGCTGAGGCAGGCTGACACTTTTCAAAACAGTGTAACACAAATCTGAAAGAACACAGCACACAGACAGGAAGCCATGTTTACCAAAGTGCAGATATCTGAGCCAAAGAATCAAAGCCATGAAAAGCTTGCTAGGAAGTCACATTCCCCTTTCAAGCCCTTTCCTCCTCCTCTGTACAGGAAGGCAATCATTCCTTGGCCACGTTGCCCCTGGCCTGCCTCCTTCCCTCGTAAGTATTGCTAACATTTTAGCTAAGTGGCCCATGACTTCCACTTTCTTTGTCTGATTCGCAGAGAATCTTTCTCCAAAGCCCAAATCAAAGAAGAGTGCATGTAAATATGTGTTTTCTTTTCCTTCTTCAGCCTAAACTCATGCATAGCAGCCCTGCTGTTTTGTCACCATTTGCAGGAATGTCCTTAGTTTTTCCTGAGCCTTTCCTGCCTGTCAGACACTCCTCTGAACATTTGGCAGGCAACGGTTCACATAGTCTTCAGCACAGCTGATAAAGAAAGGTTTTGTCTCTAGCCCATTTGTTACTAGGAGACACTGGAGGTCCAGAGGTGGGTAGCTTGCAGGTGTGGTGGCTCTGAGCTTGAGATCCACTTGGCATGTCCAGCCAGCCCTCCTCACCAGGGAGCTGCAGAGTCCTGCCCCTAGAGGCTGAGTGGGCGCTGTGTCCCGCCTGGAGTCATCTTTGCTCAGTGCTTGTGTCTTTGATTAGTTTGGATTATAAATAGCCAGAGATGGTGAGGTCCTGGTTTGAAAAGGCTGTGCAATTAATTATCAAACACTTACTTTGTGATTGACACATAGAATTTTTAAGATGTGGATTCTAGGGACAGGTAAGTCAAATGATGATTATTTTTCTTTAACCCCCACACAGGCGTCCTTCATTGACTGTGATTCCTGTTTTTCAAGTGTGTACTTATTAATAGTAGAACTATGTGTATTGCCATTTTGGTGGGTCAAAATTGTTTGACTATCAGCAATTTCAGTCTGTGGTTTAAGTGCATCCTGTCTGCTTTCTGGATAGAATTAAAGTAGACACATGTGAGCCTTTTTGAGTTGCTGTATACGAAGAACGGCACTGTGGTCAGAGTCTGCCCCGAAAGTGATGTGATTTGAGTGCATGTTCTGCTGGGTGGGGTTCCAGGCCTGCAGGGTTCCAGCCTTTGCTCATCCAGTGCTGCAGGCAAGGTTCTGCAGAATTGTCCCAGATCAGACGACTCATCAAATGTGCTTTAATTGCAGTCTTACGACACAGACTTAAATTAAGAAATTTGAAAAATAACTAAGAAGTCCAGTGCATCGTTAGCAGATACCATTTTATTCCTCCTGTCATGTCCCGTTTGTTCATGTGCTTTCCAGTTCAGCCCCTGAAACACGGGCAGTATTCCGTGGTCATTGTAAAGCAAGTGGATGAAGCTTCAGGGCCATCTCCCATGTTGATTTGCAGGGGGACAGCGCCTGCTCCCCTTCGCTCTGTGCGCACCTGTCCTGTAAGCCCTTGGTGTTGGTCCCTTGTGGGCGCACGTGGGCACACTCACAGCAGTCTTTTTGTCCCTTCTGGTATTGGAGACTGTCTTGAAGGACAGAACATGAGTTACCCATTTTTCTGTCACCTGCAAACATTATCTTGGGTGTAAACATGTTTGTTGACTTAAATGTCGGTAAATTCATTTATTTTAAAGTCTAAAATCCAGTATTTATTTTCTTATAAAATGAAAGATAATGCATATTGAAAAATACATGTCTATGGAACCACAAGCCTGAATGTGTGGCTTGGGTCTGGATCACACTAACCACTGCAGTGGGTTTTATTTGGCAGTTTGCGTGTGAACTTGGACATGGGCAAAGCGGTGTACGGATGGATGATGATGAGAGACGAGAACATCCCTGGCACAGTCGTTCGGACCAGCACTATCCCGGAGGAACTTGGGCGCCTGGTGTATTTACTGACAGACAAAACAGGTACTATTCGTGTCTGTGTTTACCTTTGACTGGACCAAATAAATGACACTTAATAAAAAATAGCAGAGTAGCATAGCATGTAGATGTATGTTTCTGTGTGTGTGCTAGAACAGATCATCGAACCCATGTTTGGAATTGTTCAGCCTCTGCTCTTGAAAACTGTCACACAGCTTAATCATCTGCTAATATACACAGTATCATAAGAATTATCAAAATGTTAAGTTCTTAGAGCTTTAAGTAACATATTTCTGTGTTTTTAATTTTCTATAATCTTGTAGAGTTTTAGAAACTGCCTTTATAACACTTCCCTAGTGGCTTATTAAGAGCAAAAATTGTATGTTTGTTTATGTTTATTATAGAATGATACTTGTGAGGTACTAGAAGAAACTAACAGATATATTAATTTGATATTTAATACATTCTTCTAAGAAGCTTTTCTACAGACTGTTTATCCCACTTTAAAGCTCTGGGACCAACATTCTATTTGTCCTATTTAATTTTCTTTCTTTTTTTTTTTTTCATCGAAGAACTCTTAACCAATCCGTAACAGACTAAAGACAAACATGGAATCTGGTACTACAGATTTCCTTACAAGGAAAGCCACATCCAAGGGTTTAAATTCCTCCTTGGTTTATTGAGTCATAATTTTAGTTCTTAGTGAACTAAAAATAAAAGAATACTTACATAGCGTGATAAACAAAATATGTTGCAAACAAAATTCAACTAATCTTTTATTATTAAATAGTAAAAAAGTCCTCACTATAGGCAGCAAGAAGACAGAAATCTGCAAACAAGACATTTAAAATTTGTAAGGGAAGCTCTAGCTATTGCAGTAAGACAATAAAGAGAAGTAAGATACAAGGAAGAAACAAATAATTGCAGACATAGCAAAAGGGGCAGGTTACAGATTAAAATAACAAAATAGGTCTCTAGTACATAAGTGGAGAATAGATTGAAGGATAAAGCTCCCATTCAAGGGCCTACATGCATAGAGGACACATAGGCAGGAGCCTGAGGAATGAATGGAGAGGGTGTACAGGCGGCCCCCAGCTTCACAGCGGTTCAGCTTGACGATGGTTGACAGCAATAGCATCCGCTCAGAACTGTACTTGTCTCCATGCAGCCATTCTGTTATTCACTTCGATACAGTATTCAATAAATTACACGAGATACTCAGCACTTATTATAACATAAGCTTTGTGTTAGCTGATTTTACCCAGCTAACATAAGGGTTCTGACACAGTTCAGGTAAACAGGGCTACGCCATCGTGTTTGGAAGGTGAGATGCATTAAATGCGTCTTGTACCGAGGATGGGTCTGTTGGGATACAACCCCATCGTAAATTGAGGAGTCTCTGTTTTGGAAGTCATACTGCTGTCTCAAAAGTAGAAATTCAGTACTCTTTGTGTCAGCTTTCATCATGGGAATTTGTTAGTTTAGTGTAATTGAAACTTCAGTTGTTGGATTTGTGTTTGAGTGCCATTCAACTTTGTCTTGTGAGAGGGTGAGGAACTTGACCATGAAAGCAATGCTTATGAATCCCAATGACTCAGGGAACAATTTGAGGGGCTTCTGGTTCAAAAAGGTAGATGAGAAAGTGTGTTAGGATTTTTCTTTCCCAACCTCATGAAGGCTACAGAAAAATGTTTAAAGAATAAATAAATCCCTGAGAATACATAGAAAACAAGCAGGAGTAAAATTATTAGAGGAACCAGAAATTGAGTTATTTCTGGAAAACAGCTGGAATCAGTTTGCAGTCGATAGCAGAGCAAAGCAGACCAAAGCTGCCAGTGGCTGCAGAGGAGACCCCACGTGGGTGAGAAATGTCCTGCAGAACCAAGGGGTGGAGGAGCCCCAGATCGGGAGCTGACAGGTGTGTGGGGTGGCACGAGAAGCCAGGAGCTGTCGCGAGTGGTGCCTTTGAGAACAGGTGACCGCCAGGATCTGCTCATGCGCTAACTGTGAGAGCTGGTTTTGCAACGTGGAGGGTCTTTTGGGGAGAAGGACTCACTGGCTCATGTGCCCTGCCCCTTACGCAGAGTTCACAGACGGCCCCTTGATTCAGAAAACAGCCCTTGGGAGGAGCAGGTTTATGGAACTGCAGAAGAAACCCACCCCAGCTTACTCTGTGATCAACTGAGTCTTTATTGATGAAATAGAATCAGAAATGAAGAATCTCCAGCGTGAAGTCAAAGTAGCAAAATATGAACAATCATGCTGTTCCCAGAGAAGAGAAATTCATAGAGAAAGCAAAAGAAACTTCAAGAAAATGTTCAGAATTTTAAGAGAGTTTATTCATATGTGTGAGCTTGGTATCCAAATTAAACTGCACTTCTGTATATCAGCAGCAGCTAGGACATTTAGTACCAAAACACTAATTAGAATAACAACAAAAAGTGTAAAATCATTAAAATTAAATGTAAACAAAAATATGTAAGACCTAAGTGGATTTATATCCTAAGACCTAAGTTTTATTTATATAAAAACTTGTTTTCAAAATTGAAAGCCCTTAGGATCTAAATTGATAGGCATGCTAGCTTCATGAACAGGACATCTTAGAGTAATAAACGTATCATTTCTTCTCACATGGAAAGATCTGATGTGTTTGCAAACCTAGGTGGAATCAGAAACTCCTATTCACTCTAGTGGGGACTTCAAGCTAGCGCATCACTTGGTAAAACATGTTTTGGCATTATCAGTCATGCTGAATATGCACGTGCTCTATCCAGCTATTCCCTAAAGAAATGTCTTCACATCTACACTAGAAGACAGACATAAGAGTATTCATAGCATTATAATGGTTAACAAAAGCAAGCACCATCTAGATATAACACAGAAAAGTGTATCAAAAGTAGAATGGACCAGTGAATTGTGCAGTGTTCTTACAGTTGAATACTAAATAGCAGTGACAGCAGAGTATAGATATTGACAGAAACATGGGTGGATTCCAAAATAGAATGTTCAAGAACTAAGAAAAACATAAGAAAAAATTTAATAAGGTTTATTTATATAAAGATGAAAACCATAAAAGATTAAACCATTTAATACTTAGAGGAAAATAAAGGATGAAGCTGTAAATAAATGCAAACACTAAAAAAAAGCATGTAGACCAATATGAATCAGAAGGAAGCTGGTTTATCTACCTTGATTAATATTAAGCAAAATAACCTTAAAATGAAAAACATTATTTAAGAAAGAGGGTCATTGCATAAAAGGTTCAATTCAAAATGTTTGTGTACATAATAAAATATCTTTAATACATAAAGCAAGAATTGATAGAGGGAGAACTTGATTATTTGCTCTCAACGACGGGAAGAAATAAACAAATCTTTTGTTTATTGGTAAGCCAAGCAGGCAGTTCAGAAGATTTGAATAGCATAATCTCAGTGTAGATCTTATGGACATATATAGAATTGTTTATCTAACAACTAGAGAACACATGTTCTTATCAGACATGTATGAGAAAGTTACGAAGATTGGACACATGCTAGGCCATGAGTCAAGTTTCAACAAATTCCAAAGAATGGATATTCCTGATCACAATAAAAAGAGGTAAGAGTTAGAAGTTAATAACAAAGAAATGTTTTAAATCTCTGCATTTTTAGAAATTGAAGAATATATTTCTAAATAGCATAGATCCAAAAAGAATTAATACAAATTTAAAATGCCTAGAACTGAATAATAGTGTAATCACTTTCTATTAAAGCCCATGGAATGCACAAAATCAAGGCTTTATAGGAACTTTCCTTCATTTTTTTAAACAGAAAAACAAGAAAGTCTAAAAATTAATCATCTTAATGGCCAACTCTAGAATAGTAAAATAAAGCCAAAGAAATACAAAGAAAGAAGATATCAGCAGAAAGCAGTGACTTGATAAAAACTATCAAGGATTAATACGTCCTGTTAGACTTTTGAAAATACAGCAAAATAAATACACTTTAAAAATTCTCATCTTTAAAAAGTAAGAAAAGGTGGGCTGGGTGTGGTGGCTCACGCCTGTAATCCCAGCACTTTGGGAGGCTGAGGCGGGTGGATCACCTGAGGTTGGGAGTTTGGGACCAACCTGACCAACATGGAGAAACTCCATCTCTACTAAAAATACAAAAATTAGCCAGACGTGGTGCCATGTGCCTGTAATCCCAGCTACTCAGGAGGCTGAGGCAGGAGAATCGCTTGAACCTGGGAGGTGGAGGTTGGTTGGTTCATGAGGTTTAGGGAAAGAAGCCATCTCCGTAACATAAAAGTGAAGGTGAAGCAGCAAGTGCTGATGGAGAAGCTGCAGCAAGTTCCCCAGAAGATCCAGCTGAGACCACTGGTGTCAGTGTAGCCAGAGCAGTGCTGATGGAGAAGCTGCA